GCCAAACCCGGCAAAAAAAACCACCATGGTACTCTATTCACTGTCGTCAAACTGGCCTCCATGGTGCCTGGATGCTGTGTTAGGTCCCGGTCCTGGTTCACTAGAACCTCCCAGTCAATGGGACCGCTATTGCTGCGTGGTGGTAGGGGCGTAAAGCACACTCCAGGACAGGAGTTTCTGGACAGTACAGGACAGGGAGGTCAAGTGTGTGTAAAGCACACTTTGTGCCATTAGGTGATATAAATACTAGTTAATATCTGCAGCAAGTCCCTTCCTCGCTGCCTGGTTTTACACTCGGCTAGCAGTTTAATGGGAAGTATAATGTCCTCATAATAAAAAATAAACTTTAGTTTTTAGCAATGTTCATGCACAGTCCATGCAAGTCATTTGAGAGTATGAGAAAGCACTTCCCCAGATACTTCTTGCTGTATATTCACACAGATTCTCTTAAGAGTAATTTCCCTTGTTTCTAAGAAAAGATTGATTGATTGGCCAATAGGAGCCTGGGTGGGGGATGAACTGAGTAAGCAGGGAAACTTTTGTTTTAGCTCAGTTATACTAAGCGTACGCTGTAACAAGCCAGCGTGGAGACTGAGGACAGGAAGACTACGCTTTCGCTTCTCTTTTCAACGAACTAGCTGAGTGCTATCACACCCATCTGCCATCTACCATCCTGCCTGCTGGGGATCTGTGATTGGTGGAGCCTCCGCAGCGTGGGTGGAACTTACCGACTGTCCAAGCTTTTCCAAATTGTCCAGGAAATACTTGACTGACTCCCCCTGAGAGAAAGAAAGAAAGACAGAGAAAGAGAAAGAGAGAGAGAGAGAGTGTGACTTTTCCTCTGAATTCTAATCTCCTTTAATGTTGTATTTCACATGGCCCTAACTCACTTCCCTGTCAATATGGAAGTGAGTTACATCAACGTCACTTTTTCATGTGATACCACCCCCTCACCACTACTGAGTGGGAAAACAAACTCACTATGCCTGCTCTAAATGTACAGAGCTAATACAGTATATACTGTACATGCAGCTGGACACCAGTCTGTCACAATCAGGAGGCAATGTGTGAGGAATGTTACAATGATCAGACCTCAAAATATATTCTGCTCGTCTACATTTTCATTAACCATTATTATTCTGAATCATGTCCAATAGTGAATAATGTCCAACCTTAACAACAAAAATAGACCAGCAATTCTGCTTCTGGTATAATTTAAAGCATTGCTTAGAATGGGTGGGATCAGCTCTGGCGACAGTCAGAACGCTCACAGTGCAAATATATGCAATTGAGTAACTGGTGGACCATCTCCCTTGGTTCTGCCCATCCTGTACAGCCTACTGACTGTCACACTGCTCTGCAGAGACACACACACACTCTCTGGCACAGACGCATTTTACCAGCGGGGACCAGGTAAAGCAACAGTGACGTTGGTTCAGATAGTTTTGATAGGCTATGTCATTAACAATGAGCCTCCCCAGCAAGCGGCTCACCTGCTGTGAAAAAAATCGTGAGTTGTGTTTTTTGGGCTTTTCCAGCTGATGTTGAATCCTTTTTTCTCCAAGTCAAAGCTGTCCAGATATCAACATATTGAAAGACAACAGAGACGAGCAGAGAAAGCTAAACTAGAGCATGTAATCCAGCACATTAATTATACCGGTACTGTCAAGAATGTATTAATATTAGCAACCCTGTTGTGAATGCATGGTCTCAGAAGTGGCATCCAGAGGACAGCTTATAGACAAGATCATCAGAAAATGAGTAACATTAGAACACACAGTGTGTGACCGCTCTTTGAAGCTCAGCCGTTCCAAACAGACGCTTGGTGAGCTGATTTCCCCACAGGACATTTACAGATCATTTTCCTGTGAGCACGACGCTGCTAGACCAGAATCTAAACTTGTGGAGAGAGCAGTGAGGGTGAGATGGAGGAAGGAAGGGCGTGGGGAGGCAGAGAGAAAAGCAGCCCTTCATTAGCTTGTCTGTGTCTGTCTGTGTGCACTCAGCAGCTGCAGCTCTGCCCCATCCACTCTGAGGAAGAGTCTTTATCTGCTACTGTCAATGCTCTTCTGTACACTCAAACCGCCTTATGGACGTCAAACTCTGCAACAAACACTGAAACAGAGGTTGGAGGGCAATTTTAAACTTGGGTCAGAGATACATACACCTCTGCCCCCAACCCCTATAACTCATATATAGCATCAAGGATTGCACCAGAAATCCAATAAGCACACTTGGTCTGCAGTTATGCTCTCACTCACCAGCTGGAACTCTCGCCGGCGGTCATAGGCATTCTGGATGCCCTCGTCGGCCCACAGGGCCCGGATAGATGGCAGGTAGTGCTGGAAAACCTTTTGTTCCACCATGCCGTGACCGTGGGCCATCGCCGACCGGGTGTCAAACGCCATCATGGTGTGTCCGTGGTGCTGGTTCGACGGTTGGCCCCATGGGATGAGAAGCTTCTCTCGGGCGTCCACCAACACTCGAATACCTGAAGCAGGAGAGAAACATGTCAGAATTGTGGTTAAGATTATCCATTTATCTACATTACAGCCTGTTTCTGCACACACACACTGTTGAGTCAATGATATCCTGACAGTGGTACATTTAGCATGACCACCAACCATCTGCATAATTATAACAAAACAGTTATGTTTTGACACCATGGAGGCTGAGCCATGCACAAACACTGTACATGCTTCCAAACAAAGCAAAGGCTAAAGCAGGATTACAGGATTACTGCAGGGTTACTGCAGGGTTTCTCAATCTTTTCTGGACCATGACCCCATATTTAGATTAGGGGTGCACGATAATTAATAAATAATAAAAATAATAAAAAACAGGAAATTATTATGTCATACCGATAAGTCCGATATCATGACAAATAGCCTCTATAACATATATCATTTTGTCAGCA